AGAATTGGAGTTAATGGCTCCTAATGTCGTGTTGAATTTATAGATTGTTCGACCAATTCAGTTTGACTTACCGCTAAGAATCGTCACTCATGTTGACGCAATTAAGTAATACAATATCTTTAAAGCCAATATACATACTAATACAGACTCCACGTGACGTCCTCACTTCTAAAAACTGATTGAAACCCGATTCTAAAGTCGAAAGACTATCATTTATTTTTACAGACATTAAAAGTATTAATTTTGAGCACAACAAACGCTTATTGCAGTCTCGAGTAGCTGTGTTTGAGTTCAAAAGTGAGTCCTTAGATAAACAACTGGCAGAAGAAAAGGAGAATGAAAAGCGCATTCAATCAACTGTTCCAGTAAAATTGACTACACAATCTTATATGGATAAGAAAGCAATGGAATCGGTACTCAAGACGCTTAGAACGTTGGAAAATTTTTATAAAATTACTGGAACTGATAATATGAGTGGTAAGTACTGAAAATACTCAATTCATAATAAAACTTTATATATAATTTTTAATATTTATATCTAATGCAAACCCAAACCAGCTGAAAGCACAGAAAGTCTCTGGAAAGAAATTCGTATCAACTTGTCTGATATACCAAACGCTTCAATATTTAAGGCTGTTATGTATCTTAAAGATAAACAACTACAAAATATTAAAGCTATGAATAAACATATTTCAAATAAATGTCTCGGCTTCTTATATAGCCCGTCAACAAAAAAAGAGTCTTTTTCTTCGTATAAAATAAAATTAGCAAAAGCGAAGGCAAGTCTCTTAGGCGTGGTATCGAAATATATTAAAGCACGAAAGGAACGCACACAGCTTGAGGAATATTTCGTCAAAATTTATATAGAATTTGTGGACAAGTTGCAACATAAGTTGAATTTGAATACCAGCAAAAGCGATGAGGTTGTGGAGGACATAATGTCGAATTACCTTCTTCAATTAACCTCAATAAACTTTTCAAACAGCGAAAATGAATATCTAGAAAAACAAATAGAACATTTAAGGACTGATATCGAAAATACTAATATGCAAATACAAAATCATGAGGTGTGCAAAGTTATATATAAATATCAATTAATTACAATATATATAACTTTTCTTTTTAAATACTATTTAGGTTCTTCTTGGCTTTATAAGGAAAGTTTATTGTGATATAAATGCATCAGTCAATCGCTTACAGTTTGAAATGATACAGCTAAGTCTAATTAAAAGTAAGATAGTTTATTCTAAGAATGTATTGCAACAAATGTTGAATCAGATGAAATCCTCCGCTAGCACTACGAGTAGATGGTCCATGGATTTGCGTAATTCATTTTTGCAACCACAAAAGAAAATCAATGATATCACATTCAGTGCTGAAAGTTTTGCGATGGGAACTGAAAACGTACTCTGCAGTACCAAATTTGATTTTGATAATACAGTGAGCTCCCTTAGCAGTAACACTCTTCTTCAGAGTTTCTGTTCTGGGGACACAACTATCATAAGTACTGGTACAAATAATAATTTACCAGCATATCTGTTAGAATTAAATATTTTTGCTGAGACTCCAATTGAACATTTCAGCCGCATGGCCCAACAATGGTTTGTATTTTTACATAATTGAAAAATTGCTTTAATAAATAATATTTTTAGCGCATTTCACCTCTCTCCAAATCCAATTGTCACTGCGACTCAAGAGCTATCCCCAGCAGTACAATTCACACCAGGTGCTTTATTAACAACTTACGGAGCCTTGAATGAAATAATTTCACGCATCAAGCTAGCTAAGCACTTTGCCAGATCTTCTGGTGATGCCAAATTTAAATTGGATTTGATACATAGTAAATATATATAATAAATATATAGTAAATACTATATACTATCGTCTATATTTATTTATTTTTTTCAGTTGATACTAACTTGTTGAACGAAAAACAAAAACTACAACAAGAGCGTATATTGCAAATCTTTGATAAAATAAAAGAAACGAACGTTAGCACTGATTATATTTTAAATAAATGCTCGAAACTATACAATTTTCGTTTAGAAAATCCTTTGAGACATTATATTCCACCTTCCAAAACCTTCAACGATCAAACCTATTCAGAATATGAATCCGAATATAACTTATACTATCGTTTGGCAACAGAAGATACTTCCACAAATTAAATTTTTTATACATTAAATTTGTATTTTGATTATTAAATAATATATTGTTTCCATATTGTTCATATTTTCTACAAAATTGTAATACTATTAATGATTAATATCGTTTTTCTATATAATTAAATTTTATAAAAAATACACACATGTAGAAAACAAGAAATTATATTTATTTGACTTTATAAAAAAACAAACTATAAAATATTTTTATATTGTTCTTAATGTTGTCTTAAAGATTAGAGGGGCATTACATGGAGTAATCCCTACGCTGACGTTACTTGCATCCTAGCACATCCAATTACGATGATATGGCATGCAAACTTAAATGGATATAGTTCACGGGATCTATTTCGGATTTAGCACTTATGTCTCAAAAACTAAAGTCAGGATCATGAATACCACTAACAATGCACTCCTAATAAACTCAATAAGCTGTGATCATTTCGACTTCCGATGGTTGCAACGAAGATATCCAAAACAAAATAAAAAAATCACAATGAGCATAAAAAACATTTGAAACTTTTCTTAGCATGCCTTTCCGGTTCTTTTAACGTCTATCTACTGGTACTGGTACTGGTGTATGATTTCTTGAAGACCTTTAGAAGATGTTGAATTTTCCACTTTTTGCAATTAACTAATAATTGATAGAAGTCAGTCACTACATATGAAATATCACAATCGAACTCGTCTTCGTAGGTCTGTGACCAGTGACACAGATATACCAATATTTTTTGATTAATCTATTCCAATCACAACTTTTGATGTCTGATTGAAATCTTTAATCCTGCATTGACAAGAACAAAAGTCTATACTATTTAATGTGACGAATTTAACCATGTTTACACAGACGACTATAAATTAAGAAGTAATTACAACGGTGGCTTATAATAGAAGGCTGTTTCAAAACTTTTTCCATTTAAGGTAAAAAATTTAAAAACAATATTCCTAATATGTGAAGTTTTAAAATATCTTACAGCTTTCTACTAAAAAGTTAAATGACCAGATCTGATAAGGAAACTGCGAGACTTTCTTCTAAAATCTGTGATACTGGCTTTTCTCTACATTTCCTCAAGAAATCTTTTTAAAAATGTAAGTCAACTTTAAATTCTGACTCTACTAAATGAAGTACTTAGTCAAAAAAGATTTTTGTCAGAAACTTGTGTATACTTGAAAGAAGATTTATACATGTACATGAGTATATAAATTTGTACTTATTATGCACAAGTATTTATGGGAAAATATAAATTTTTCTCATCATACAATACAAAAAAAAAATATTTTAAATAAAACTAAAATGAGAAAACTTTAAATATTAAGAACTTAAGCACATTTTCATATCAACTTACTTGAATGATTTTTCAAATTAAAATGTTTCGAACTTAGCCAAATTGGGGAACGTGGTAGGGTCCTGTCCTGCCCCTCTATTTTGTATATTTATTTGTATTAAAAACGAACTTTTTGAACTTCTAACAAAAAAAACGGGCATGTAGAAGAATTTTCTAACCGTGTAATTTACAAAAGTTTTCCTTACAACCTTTTCATGTATTTTAGTGCTTCGAAATTTTGTACTCGTATTCCTCCTGTGAAGGGAAAGTATGAGAAATAACTTAACTCAAAACTCGAATTTCACAAAACTCTTGCAGAACATTAATTCTGACTATAATAGCAACAAAATGCTGAAAGGTAGAAAGTTACTTTAAAAAGTACTACTTACTATCAGAAATATTAGTAAATTTGTCATTGTTGCAAATTGCTTTCGTAATCACAATGCAAAGTTTATAATTTGTAAGTGCACTTCATTGCAATTTCCCTACACTGCAAATATTTTGATTTAATTTAACTTTTGCTTTTCTTTTACTTGATTTTTTTTTAATTTTCTAATCAAAAAGTTTAGCGATAATTTTATTTTTTCACTGCCATATAAAAACGGTTAAATATTCCATTAATGTGATGATAATAATGATGATGCCATTATTGAGATATATACATACGTATTACGTACTAGATTTGGATAACACAAACTACGTGCGTTAATATTACACAAGGCTACGTTTTAGCTAAAGTATTTGATTATACAACTAACTTTGTTCTAGGAATGCTTATATGAATAATTACCTGAAGTATTATTGGTTGGCTACCTCTTAACAATATATCTTACGCTAAGAAAATTATTTCGATAATAATTACAGTCATCCCACGTTCTTATCTGTTATTCCACAAGGTATGTGTCTATTATATTCAACACTACTTATCCTACACAAACATATGTTTAAAAACGATGACAATAACAAGACCATATTATTCATAAATAATATGTAGTCTCTCATTAAAAATGACACTACAAACTCAGATAGTTAACTAAATATATAAGCATTCCACCACTCTATATTAGCCATATAGCTAACTACCTCCAACCAACAATTTAATGTATTATATAAATGGGTTTACCACTCAGAAGTCGTTTTATCCGTTTAACCGAGCGATCATCGAAGAGTTGCCATTTCAATGTCAGAACACGTTCTAACCCGTAATAGCACTCATATCCTCACGCTACAGATAAAACGATATACCTCCTCATCGCGGGTAAAGTTGTGTTTACTTTGCATTTAAAGTAAAAGAAGACTGACTACAGAAATGATCCTGTGAAGTATAGTCTTAATTTTACCTACGAATTCGTGGACTTATAAGTGTACACGTATATCAAGCAATTGAGAATTATAAATTTCACACAATACAAAATTTATGCGATTTATATATTTTCACCACCAAACATTTCACGGCACATAATTACAAAAACAAATAGCTCTTCAATATATTCAAGAACACAGAACACAATCTATAAAATGCCTACTGTATGTCTTAAGAATAGATTATTTTTTATTATACCTCAATTCTTTTGTAGAAACTAAAATATATTTAGGCACATCAAACACACAAACATGTATAAAAGCAAGCAAAGCAATATTTGCTGCTTTGTGCGTCGACTGTCGTTGAGTACGACAAACATTGTACATATTAAAAGCAGTGGAATGATTATCTACTTGTTTTCATTTTTATCTATTTGAGTACGCAGATACATAGATACATATGCATATAATAGACAGGTATTTTAAGAATAAGCATTTACCTGGTATATAATAAAAACCCAGAAAACTATAATTAAAAGAAAATATCTTTGCTAAATAGTATTAAGATACAATTTAAAAATATTATTTCACAAATTGAATAATTATTTTAAGTAATTTACATTAATTTAGATAATTTAAATTAAGCAATTAAATTAATTTCTGTGATAAAAAAACTTGGCAGCGGTGGGATTCGAACCCACGCCTCCGAGGAGACTGGTGCCTTAAACCAGCGCCTTAGACCGCTCGGCCACGCTACCTTAAACATATCAGATCGCAGAGCTACAGCCGATCATGCCTTGTAATACAAAATAAATTATTTACTACACTATTTTATAGTAAATATTTAATTATATAGAAAAATATATCAACTTTCATACTAATGGAAAGCATTTTTCGTATGAGTACTTCATTCAATTTATATGAATCATTAATAATAGATATTGATAGCTCACCAAAGTATGTAGCTTCAAAAATAACTATACATAATTGTTATTAAAATAGCTAACATTTTATACTAAACAATACTTTTTCTCTCAATACTCATAACTTTTTATTACATATATTTGTATATATTAATGTGTAACATACATTACGGCCATGTTACCAACGGTTCCATAGTGTAGCGGTTATCACGTCTGCTTTACACGCAGAAGGTCTCCAGTTCGATCCTGGATGGAACCACAGTGGGTGACTACTTTTTACCACTATCCAACTAATAAATCGTATGTTATAAATGCAAATTACTTTCAATCTGATCATTTCCTAATTATGTAATTAATAATTGATTAGCCTTAGTCACTTCATGTTTACACTTGGGCAATTAACCGGACAAAAGTGTAACAGTGCCATTTTCTATACGAAATATATATCAATAGCGTTTGATAATTGAAAGTATAAACATATGTTTATATGCTTTAAGCAAAAATATCATTTTTTAATAAAACGACCTAGATTTGGTTTCCTTCCATTACGGGTGTCAAACTAAACTTTCGTTGAAATGAGAGTTTATAGCATAGGTGCTCTGGTTTAGCAATGTAAACTGGACGCTTGAAATGTAGTGAAACTAAATCTATTTGTCAGTCAGCTTAAAATGTAAAACGTCACAAAAATATTTTAGTCGGCACGTTTTCACTTTATATCTGATTTGAAAGTCTAATATTGGTTAGTATTCATATTCATGACCATGTACCTTTTGTAGTCTATCTACCATCAAGTCTTTAGTCGCGTAATACTAGAATTTTTCAGTTTGCTGACGTCAATACCATTTTGAGGAGAATTTTTGAATTATGATTTCCAAATATCTTAAGCTTAAAAACAATGTGTTTAAGTTTTATTTGAAAAAGCAATATTTTGTTAAAAAATTAATTTTTTTTATTAAAATTGTCTTAATACATAAAACTTCATGGATAAAAGTAGAGATATAGATACTACCCACAACAATATATCAGATGGATATGTACATAACATAGAAATTGTATGTGTATAGTATTTTTAATTTTCAGTAATGCCAAATTAATTTGTTCTACACAATAACTTATAATCAAAATAATTAATTATAAAATTAACTGTTAAGTAATTTTTTTTTAAATTAATACCTATAAATAATTAAGAAATTGGACAAGTGTCTATTATGTGGTTCCATAGTGTAGCGGTTATCACGTCTGCTTTACACGCAGAAGGTCTCCAGTTCGATCCTGGATGGAACCATAGATGTAACTTTTTAATTAATAATTTTTTCACTCCTATATATGTATTTCTTTATCATAATTGATTAACATGGCAATATTAATACTTAAGATTACAAATCAAGCTTACTTTGTTTTGATTTTTATAATTATCAATCTAACCTAATACTTTTAATTTATATTTCACTGAATTTTATTTTATTTAGATTCCAA